TCCTCTTGGATCTGGAACTGGTTCTTCACAGGAGCTAGGTTTTCGGTCTTGGCATTGTAGTTCCTAAAGCAGACATTGAGCTTCTCATCAAATTCATTCACGAGGTCCTCCATGGACTTGAAGCTGATTATTTCAGAAGAAAAATTCTCAAGCTCAGAGAGGGAGGGGTCCTCTAGATGGTGGGGAGATGAGCCATAGAAACACTGGGGCTTTTCCTCCGGGTCCTCAGAACAGCAGGGCCGAAGGTCCTCAAACTCTTCGTCCAAACTCACCAGTGGGGCCTCCATTCTTGCACCACAATACAACTATAGCAACTTTCGAGATTCGTTTTCCTGGAAGAAATAAACAGGGCAATGTGAATTTGGCCTGGACTTTTATGACCCATAAGCACATATTCTATTACTCCATATTCCTCAGAAAACAAAGATTCCCCAGTACTGGCATCGGTGCACTGCTATGCACTTCAGGAGTTCAGATATCACCATGTACGTTGATACTACTAACTAAATAGAGTGAACTTTGGAAATACACCTGCTTCCAATTTTCTGCTCCAAAGCATAGTGGTTAAGTGTGCAGCTCCTGGGCCAGACTTTAGGCAAATTACTTAACTTCTCTGTTTCCTTTTATTCTTCTCAAGACAGCAATAATAATAGGACCTACATAAAATGGTTTGGGTTTTTTTTGTACCAGGGATTGAACCCAGAGGTGCTTAGCCACTAAGTCGCATCCCCAGCACCACCATTCTCCCTTATTTTTAAAAATTTTGAGACAGGGCCTCACTAAATTGTTAAGGCCGGTCTCAAGCTTGTGATCTTCCTGCCTTAGCCTCTGGAGGCTCTGGGATTACAGGCAAGAGTCACTGTGCCCAACTCCAATGGTTGTTTTAAGATAAAGGAGAAGTGCTTGGCAGCAAGCTGAGGACACACACCTGTAATCCTAGAGATTTGGGAAACTGAGGAATCCAAAAAGAGGATCCCAAATTTGAGCCCAGCCTTAGCACTTTAGTAAGATCCTCACTACTCAAAATAAAAAGTAAAAAGCAGTGGGGATGTTTTTTAGTGGTAAAGCATCCCTATGATCAATCTCCTATACTCCCTCCAAAAAAAGTGGTTGGCAGATAATAAATGCCAATATTGTTCAACATTCATATTGTTTTTGCTGTTGTTGATGTTGCTGTTGCCACTGGTCCACATCTCTAGCCAGGGACTCTGCTTTGAAAACTGAAAGTTTTTCACAATTTGTTTGGTAACAAAGATTGACATGACCTCAACTCATTTGGCAACAAAACTTGATTGACACGAACATAAATCTGATTGGGTTTTAATGTATCCCATTCAATGTATTTTGCTGCAGAGTATTAAGTTTCTAGACAGACCCGGTGCATAACTCAGTGGTAAAGTATGAGCTTAGCATGAGTGAGGTCCTGGGTTTAATCCCCAGCACTAAATAAATAAGTAAATAAATAAGATTGTTACCTGAGAAAACATACTCTATCTGCCTTCCAAAAGTTGAAATAATCTAAATTCTGAAACATGCTCATGGCTAATGTTTTGGATATTACTACCTTCAACCATAAACAATAGAGAATGATAGAACAGTAATTGAGATTTTCTGACAACTACCTGAGTTTTTCCAAGATGCAGAGCATATACCTAGAAATACAGGAATGAATTAAATGAACTACCCATAAGCTCCAAAATCAGACTCCATATCCTTTTTGGACACTGCACCCTGGAATGCTGCACACTTAGACTTTCCTCCACTTCCTCAAAACTCTAGGACTTCTACCCTTTTTCTGCCTTTTTTCACATACTGTCTTAAACTGTGATTTATCTTTCTGTGCTAACTTCCGTGTCTCTTCCCAATTTTAATTTAAATTCCTCGAGGGCACAGAGATGTCCTCCGGATATCCTCCATGGCTCCTAGCACACACAGATTGCCCTGTGGCCAGGCAATCAATCAATGTGAGCTCATTGAAAAATGATCTGTCCCCACATACAGTTTCCCACAAGCATTGCTGTCTATCATATCCTTCTCTATATGCTCAACTTTCTTTCCTATAACACAGAAGGCAACCCGTCTTTTCTCTCTTGGTTTCTGTGATCACTGATTCAGTTAGAGGCTTCATTTGGACTCACACCCCAGGGAGAACCAGATAGCAAAAACTAAGCATTTTGCCTGGAGTTCCCATGCCCCATCTCTACTTAAAAAACTAAAACTCTAAGCAAGGCAGAGGGCAGTAGGTGAGATA